GTTCAGTGGCGGAACATTGGATATCTGCCTTTAAGCTCGTTCTCACCCCTAAAAGAACGAGCGGTAAGGTTTCGTGCCAGTTGCCGTTTTCGTGTGCTCGTAGAACACTTTTAAGTTGGCAGTGAAACCGTTCAACTTAACCATTCGGTGCTGGGTGGTAGACGGATATGCTTATGCGTATGCATTCCGTACCAAGCAGCCGGGTCAGCGAGGAGAATCGTTAATAGGGTAACATTTCTCGAATAAAGCGTGGAATTCATCATCACGCGAATAAAAAGTGACAAGGATTCGGTACACATACGTGTGAGTCTATTATATTAATACTATTCTTATCGTTATCCGTCATGTCGCGTATATTATATATTAAATAATACGAAAATATACGACAGACGTAGATAGATAAACCATAGACTCACCGAATTGGCTTCTTTGGAAGATTTGACCAGAAGCTGAGGCGTGTTCCAAAATACGGGTCACCAATTGTTGTCGAATTGATTGTATTCGTATTGGGATTACCAATTGTAGCGTGGCGTCGAGTTGAGATTAACTATGAACACCGCTACCAAGAAACACGTGCCAATTAGATCAGAAGGCGTAAGAAGCTCGTTCCAAATGACCCCATAAAATCCCCGAGAAGCCGAATACCAGAAGGCAATTAATGGACCAAGTCGATGTTTATTTGCTGGCGATCTCGTGGCATCGAAAGGATACCGAGATCGTGCCAGGATACAAGCTTGGTTACAGAACGTAACCGAATTCGCGCGAAGTTACAATCAAAGTGTAAGTAAAGAATGGAAGAACAAAATAGCTGTCATTAGCACAGTCAAACAAAAGCACGTTAAAACAGTCACTGGTACACTTGGTTATAATAATAATTGTTTTTATTAAACCAGTCGTGTTCTCGTGATAAACGTGAGTCACTACAACTGTAAACTGGAGTGAATTCTGTAATTACTATTTTGAGGTTATATATATGTATATATATATATATATATAATCCAACGTGCTTCAGCACATTAAAAAGGTGATTTTTCAAATAGGCTTAGTGAGAAAAATTCACCATTCACTAGGCCTTTGATTTCACGCAAACATCGTGGGATGCTATTTCAAATCTGGTTGATTAACTAGAGCGATAGGATTATAACTTACGGTTGACATTTGAGCGATGTCAGACTAACCTTGAGGAAATTCACCAACCTACTGTGATCTATTGAGGGTTATAAATTAATAAGAAAGATAAAAATGAGGATTTAGATTTGTAAGTTAGGGATAAGAATTGGAATCATGGTTTCCTTCACGAAGTGATGTAAGCTATAACTCCAGAATCCTACTTAGTCATGTGGATGGGTGGGTTTCGCGCTGCAATCTGAGACCCGCTTTCTTAAATTCGATTAGTTCATCAACAAATTACAGTTTCGCATTTTTCAAGCCTGATATATATGTTCCATCAAGCTTCCTGATGTTTCCCAGACAGTTTATAGAACTTCACCAACTATTTGTTTTACGACCTCTGGTTTTCATCGTGTCCAGTGATTATATAGCAATGCAAACATTTCACTAGCACATGAAAAGATTATTGATAAGTGTTTTTTGTTGTGACATTCGTTGTGCGACTGGATTACAGGATGCCCAAAATTGTTTACAGTGTCATTTTTCATCTCCAAGAAAGAAAAGAATATACGACTTCGAAGTTTTCAGCATACATAAAAAACCCTTCCTGATTTAGCAGTGACACATTCATAACCAAATCATATTATAAAAGTTTTGGGCTTACTTCACAACTGGTAATGGGTGGACTTATTTTCTGATACTTTCAACATATGGTTAAAGCTGAGGTCAAGTCAGCAGAGTAAAGGCACTTCTATACTGTAGAATTTAAAAGATAAAACAACTGTCTGTGTGAAGACAAACTGAAATCCTTTCGTAATTTAAGATATAACAAAAAATTAATACAGCCCTTGTATCTATGATTAATTATGTGATCCAAAATCTAAAGTCCAGTTTGAGCATGATTTCAAAGGCTCGTATCGATTAGAGGAAGTAAGGTGTAATCGGGAAAAATTCGGAATCCATGAAATGACTGAAGTGATATCAGCTGTCCTATAATTAGACATATCTTATAGCTAACTTAATGATGAGTAATATGTGTAGTTCTTGTTGACTCCGGGGAATATGTATGTACGTTGGATCTATTGACCATTTTTGGCACTAAAATAAAAATACGTGGGATGTCTATTTTTATGGAAGGAATAAGATATATTATCAGCCCCCTGGGGGTTATTAATTATTGACGTCGGAAGAATGAAACTAATACAGAGATTGGATTATACAGTATCGTTGATTTTACTAGGGTCACCTCGGAACAGGTCTTCGTACTTTCTATACCACGAATCGAGTGTGACACTAAATATACTGTTAATTTAAAATTTAGTAGTTGAACTAATAACTGAATTTATATGTGGTACTTATATCTTGTTGGGTGTATAAGTTTATTATTATTATTATTATTATTATTATTATTATTATTATTATTATTATTATTATTATTATTATTATTCACAAACAGCTAATTTCAACATAAGTGTTGCGAGAAAACCGTTTCAGGTTTCCTCGTAAACGCAGTTATACACAAGTTTCAATAACGTTTACATGGTATTCATCATATTTAAGCAGGTTTTGTAGTAATTAGAAGAATATTAAGTTGACTTTAAAAAATAAGAAAGGGATTAAAAATGAAACGTGTCGATAATTTAATGAGTATGTACGAGAAACAGAATAAGAATAAACGGTAATACATGTATTATTTAACGGATTTAAAATAAATCATTATAGTAGTAAGATTTGATGGTAGGATAAGAATTTATGCAGTGGTAGTTAAGGATTATGCAATGAAAGTCTTTATTTATATCAGATAAGGGCAGTCCAATATCAGTTCGAGGGTCATAAATACGTGGTGAAGATAAGGTGATTCTTCAAAGTCAATTCATTTAAGTAAGCGTAATATAAGATTTTGTGTATTTAATTAGAAACTCTAGAGGAGTAAGATTATAATTACTATAAAAGTAATAAAAGAGAATGGGAGAAAGTTTACCAATAGGAGTACGTTATGACGTAAGAACATTATTCATTCTCCATTCTATTGTAACGAACAAACACTGAGGTGGAGGCAAGATTCTAGAACATCTTCGTAAAATATAAGAACAATACACTGACTACTACATTTGCGAATTTCCACCATTTGTCCTTCACGTTTTTGTATGATTCTTCCAGTCCACAATTCCTTTCCATTTTTCGTTCTATTCTCTTCAACCTGATCTTCTTAGCCTTCTGCTGCCAGGTTTTCCACTCCCGACTGGTGTTGCATACTAATTATGTCAACAGACATAATTAGCATACACTACACTGTCTTTTTTCTAAACAATCCGTCAATATTTCAAGGTGTTTTGAGAAGCTAATTATTGCGTATTCTTCTAGCTAACAGTCGATACGTTTGGCATATTCAACACTCTCAAGGTTGATTTTCTATTTACTTGCCAGACTTTCATTCCCTTCAGTCGACTAAGCTATCCATGTCAAGTGTACAGCCGCTATCTCACAATAATTCCTGTCTTTTTTGAGTTCTAAAAAGTTGTTATTGAAGCCTTCATTTAAGCACTGAAATCATATTCGTACTTGTGATCAACTACCGATAGTCACAAGATTCATATCAATTCAGACTGTCTGTTAAAATTACACATAGTGTTTCTGTTATTAATAGTGACGGGAAAAATAAGATAATAAATTATCTACAAACTGACTCATCTTGTCCAAAAAAATAATACACTTATGTACCCTGTATGTTGAATTAAATAAAGATGAACGCAACTCGGAGAATTTGTAAGTGATCGTAAGATTCCGATTTTGTGGGTCACTTTCTATTTTATAAAAGAAGATCTAAATATGAAGGTTAAGTATTCCTTCTCGAATTAACTCTTTAAAGAAATACTTGTGGATCATTTTGTAATACTATTAAAGAGTTTTTCAAAACTCATGAAGCCTTCTTTATTCAAGATCGCTCTTTCACAATTAAGTGGGTAGACAACGAACACGGCTGTATTTTGAAAATATAGATTTTTACGAACATTGGATAGATTTCTGGTAAAAAAATCTTCATCACTGTGTTTGCTTCCAGGTTATCAATTTTTTTTCGGTAAACGTTTGGTTAAATTTTGAAATTTCTACATTCTGCTGTGAACTTATGAACTTAACTCGAAAATTTGACGTTTTGTTTATTCAATACTGTAATTACAGGATGTAAAATTAACTTGCAAAAATATTTCGGAACATTTGCTTGCTGATTATTTCATTTTTCAGTTGTGGTTTTCACCTTAGTAACACATGTCAATCTCAAATCGCTTTAATCGGATCTAGATACACATAAAAGAAAAGATATCCTTTCTCTTTAGTACCATTAATGATACAGTAGAATAATTACTGACGAGACTGATTACTTCTTTAATTTCACAAGCTAAATAGTCATACTTTATTCAGGTCAAAAGTTGACTTGTTGTATGATGTACGTTTGAACTATGGAAGAATAACTCTTGATATTTTGATTGAAAGGTTTGATTTTTAATAATAATTTTTACACAAATTATGATTTTAGGAAACATTAAAAGTATGTTGGTATAAATAATTTATTTATGATATATAGTACTTAATGTACAATGCATTTGATAATACGATCTGTTCTTCTTTAGATCATTTAGTTCTCTAATATGGTAGTTTATGAAGAAATTGTTTTAATATCTATTTGCTTTTTTTGTTTAATTAGTTATATCTAAAGAATCATAAACGCTTCCATATTTTCATTTATTTTCTGGAAATTTTGATTTGTTTAAACATATCCCAAGTAAATGCTCAACAACTGTCAACATATCGGTCTATTAGAAGACTGAATACTATTAGAATATCTCTCATTGAAATTCAAATCTTATCATGGAAGCTATTCCCCGGTGAACTGGGTGAACCATAACCACTTGAACGGTCATCTGATATTGTTGTGGAATCATGAAAGTTTAAATCAAATGGATTTAATAAAGAACATAATCTATTATCTGTATTCCTAATTAATTTATTGTCACAAGAACTTTGTTCAGCAGTAATGCGTGTTTTACACTTTGTAAATAGTTGAATATATGAAGCAATACATTGTGAATAGTTGAGATTCATTTGATATTTTTGGTTATTTTCATCATCATAATCTTCATCATCTCCAACATCAGTGCAATTTTGTCTTGAAAGTATTTCATTTGAACAAAAACACGAGTTAGCAGTAGCTTTATAACAAATAATATTTCTTTTTTCTGGATGAGGCAGATCAATATCACGTGTAGAAATGTGCGGAAATAATTCCATGTAATCATGTTCACATAAAATAATGTTTTCATGTAGATAAAAACGATCTCCAATGCAGAACCTACATTTTAAAATGGAATAAAATGGTTATGAAATTTGCTTCTTTAGCTGACTTAAATGATCCAATGGAGACAGCAGTTATATTAAAAGAGGAATAAATCTTATTTTACAGGACTATCGAGAGTTGGATAGTTACTGTTTAAAAGCGTATATTTTGTATATAAAGGGATCTCAGCTTATCCAATTTAAAATATTCAAATACAAAAATGAATTAAGAGATACTTGAGGAAGTTAGAAAAGCAGAACAGTATCTTACGAACTAGGATAGTTAATACACCTTAAGTGTAGGGAGTTGTATTGAACAAATTAAGTCCAGCTTTTATTTAAAAGAATTTGATTATCCATTTCACACTTTCTTTGTAATTAGTGACATTTTTAGGGAAAAATATAATCGTTTCCTTTTAAAAATGCAATTTTCACTTTTTTCTTAGAGATTATATGAATTGTTACCAGCATTATTACTGTATTACCTGATTAATTATTGTCGTTAATTAATCTTCTAAAGTTAGAGTTGTTTTCTATTTGCTAGTTAGAGGTTAATAAACATGGTTGAGCAATCTCGTCACACGTAACATATTTCTGCTTGTAACCAAACACATCTACTGCCATTTATGGTTAAAAATACTATATTCTGTAGGAGGTCGTCGGCAAAGAATTATCCGATTTGAGGACTGTTGAAAGCCGGAGAAGACAGAATGGCTGTTCTGTCCCAGCACAAGGATCCCTAGCGGTACTCACTCTCAATCCAGTCAAGGGTTGAATTCAGGGTCGTCGGGCCAATGATCAACTCTTACATATTAGATCCGTTTAGGTAGGGTCACGTGCTATACAACCAACTTATTATTACTTACTTACTTACGCCTGTCACCCCTCATAGAGGAGCATAGGCCGCCCACCAGCACTCTCCATCCAACCCCGTCCTGGGCAGCCCTTTCGAGTTTTATTTCCAGTTGCTGTTCTTCCAATTCCCGACGTAGTGTGTTCCTCGGCCTTCCACTTTTCCGTTTCCCTTCAGGATCCCTATTTAGAATGCAGTATGGTGATTTCCGTAATGTACATCCTATTCACTTCCAACGTCTTCTCCAAATTTCTTTCTCCATTTGGAAGCTGGTTTGTCCTATCTACAGTAAGCTGTTGATGGTGGCATCATTCAAGGTCTATAACCATCGGTTGCTGTCGTCTCGCGGTCGCCAACCAGGTAGTCTACGCTTACCAACATGGCTCAGTTCACTTGTCAGTGACTTCATGGATTTGTGCCATGTTTTGGTCTGGCCGCCCCTAGCTTTCTTCCAACCTACTCCTATACCACTGAACATAGCACGTCGAGGCAGTCGGTGGTTGGGCATACGTAACACGCGTCCCAGCCATCTCAACTGATGAAGTTCCACTACTTCATCAATTGATTTGCCATCCTTACCTAGTACCCGGTTCCTAACAGCTGCGTCACTTACTCGATGGTCTCAGGATATACGAGAAATGCTTCGAAGACACCTATGATCGAATAATAGGACAGAACGAACTGATGCGCAGTAAACACGTCCTTTGGTTGATAGACAGATACCTCACGTACATCATAAATGACGCAAGTTGACAAAAGCTAGTCGAGCATTTTGTATCCATGCTGAGATTTCGTCACACACCAAACCACAAGGGCTGATGAGACTTCCAAGATAAGTGAAGCGGTCGACACGCTCAACTACTTCACTCCCTATCATCAGTCCAGGTGTCAATGCAAACCAATCCTGAAGCAACATTTTGCATTTCAAGGAGGAGAATCGCATTCCGAACATGCTTGGATTGTTGATATCAATGAGCATATATAAAATGAAGTTTGTGCACAGAAATACTTGTCTGAAAAAAAACAAAACAATTTTACGCCGTTTAGGAAATTTATATTAAATTAGTTAGAATAGTTTAATCAATTCACAATGATTTCATTCTGATCGATCAAAATATGAAGGTACTCTAACTAAACTTTACATGTTCACTGATAAATATCGCTGTAATTTATGACGGTATGTATATGAAAGAATTTTTTCCTAGTGTTTTATTTCTCAAAAATGTCTTTTGACTTCCTTTCATAGTGTAAATATTATTTCTATTATTATAAATAAAAATAAATAAATAAATAATTAATTAGTTACCTCATTTGACAATATTGACAACAAAAACAAGATAAATGATAAACACTATTTTTTATCTTCATAACAAATTCATATGATTGTACTTGTTTCTGACAGATGGAACATTCACCCGTTTTACCATACAATCTAAAATGTAATTTTGAGAAGAAAAATAATAATAAAATTGTTCTTATATTGACATGATCAACAAAATTGTGTGAATTTGAAGATAGACTTTTGAACCCAGAACTAGAACAACTGAAAAGCCGTTAAAAATCAAGATATAATGGCTAGATATTTGGGTCTAGTGAAATGTTGTAACATAGGGAGTTGGTTACGCTAAAATTGTGGTATTAACTCATCAGTAACATCGACCATGAGCCATATTATACCACAAAATAGTTGAAGCTTAAGGTATATAACACTAAATTTAAACTTGATGGGTACGTAATTTGTGCATGAAACAATCTTTAGGACAATGAACATGTTACTCAAAAGTTTCATCCGTTTGAAGATTTAAGAGAAAACCAGATTGGCAATATGGCTTATTGAAATGGCGTTGAGAGGCTCCAAGCTGTCAAACAAATGACATTACATGAAAATAACAAATTGCAAAACATTTTGTCGTTTTGATGTTTGGGCTATTTTCTGTCTTGGTGGTCTTCATGTGATATACGTAAAGTGGTATCCGTAAATTTAACGGTTTACTACAATCAGTATTATTCTGACCTATTGATGTTGCTACAACAACAATTATTTCTGTAACCTTTCACACCTTGATTTATTATGATCATGTTATGATGTGGTTAATAGTTAATACTCGCTTTTATTTGTTGTTTCATCTCGTATAATACTATATGTACCGTAATATTTGTTCATGTAATTCAATTTTCTCAAAAGTTCTCTAGAACGTCTCGTGTACTCTTTCTCATGAGAGATTACCAGTGTCAAAGTAATATCACATATCATGTAATTGATTTGTCGGTGAGAGTTTAATTCAAGGACGAATCAACGAAATCAGGGATTGCGAGTTTTGATTTTGGTGCGAAATCTATTCATTCATATCGTTAAATAATATCTTAGGAGTATAGCTGATATCGGTTAGTGATAAAACCCTTACTTTAATTCGTAACCTTAAATTCTAACTCTAAATCTGAATCCTAATTACTCATACTAATTTATAACCCTCTTTTGACCCTAATAAGTAGGTGTGCCGTCTCAAGGTCACTTTAGAGTCATCCAAAGGTTGTCAATAAATTATAGTCTCACCAATTTGTCTAGTCATGTGTAGATAATAATTAGTATTTACGGAATCCTCAGTCGACCTTACTTCGAATCTTAACACTAGGAATACTGAAAAAATAGTCAAAAGTAAAATGCCTCCCTCCTTGTTCTGTCTAATAAGGGAAACTATTTTAATAGCTCATGAAAGTAGACATTTATTCGCATAAAATCTAGTTTCAATAAGATTTAGATGAATGAAATAAAGCGACTTGGAATTTTTAGGAAATTTGATGTATTGACTGCCTTGTTACTGTTGATAACCACTAAAATTCCGGATGGAACTCAGTTTTATGAGAATTCTGGTTAGCGTTTCTTCATCAAGATTGTTTTCTACGGGATGGGGTTGCCGACTTTACACCCAAACTTCCTCCTTTACCCGGGTTTGAGACCGATAGTTTTACGAAAACAAATAAATTTACTGATTCGGTGGTCGATTTTTCGAAATAAAATTTACACTATAATTGACGCAAAATTTCTGAGAAGTAAAATGGTGACATGATAGACTTACATTTTTGGAGATTAGAAAACAAGTCTAACGTTTAATAGAAGTTTATAAAATATTCATATAATCATTTGTAGCCTTTCGTTTAAAAATAGAAACTAATATAATTTATACATGGGTTTCTACATGAGTTTCTACCTGAAGTGCGGAATCAGTTTTGGTAAATTATGTCTATTTATATGGTTATTTTAACAAATGAGGTATCTTGTCTTGTACAATCGGTTTGTACTGTTATGATTTAAAAAATACTCTCTATCATAATTTCCATTTAAGATTGATGCTTTTCGTTGTTTTTCAATATCTGGAACGTAGAAAAGTATTATGCTTCCTGACTAACGTAATCTCTATTGTTGAGTGATTCAAAAGTGGTCACTGTCATTTTTGAAATCCTGATAAATTCATAGCACAATTTAAACAGATATTATTACGCCAAGTATTTTGTATTTTATTTGTAATATCACAATGAGTAGAAAAATGAGATTTTCTGACGTTTAGTGACTAAGTGTAAGCCACTTCTTCGGAGAATAAATAAATAAACAAGTTTGAATAGTACAACGGAACAACACAAGAATATTTATGTGATCAGTCAAAAACAGGTCTGAATAAATCCATGTCACATCATTTCGGTCAAGGTGATTCATAAGCGACATGTATTTAAATTTGTATACATGTGAGTGTGTAATGTTAAGGATGAAAAATGTATGACATTTATGGTGAGAAAGGACAGAGTTTAATTTGTAAGATCATCTTGATTTGGTTATTTATTTATTCTCTGAAGAAGTGGAATACACTAAGTCACGAAACGTCAGAAAATCTAATTTTTCTATTCAATGTGATATTACAAATATATTATTTATTTATAACAATCTACCCAATGCTCAGTTTATTAGAAATTATCAAGTCAAACCTTGGTAATGATACCTACTTAATGAACTAGTGTTATTTTACTTTATTAAAATACTTAAAAATATACATTGACTACTTACTTACCTTAGATAATCTCTTCGACATAATGACATCCTAGCTTTAATGTAGAAAATTTTATCTAATTCAGCTAATCTAGCATCACAGCATACACAACGTAGACAATCTTCATGCCAGTATTGACAATCAGCTAATAAGTAATGACTTTCTTTGATGCATTGTTTACACTTTGAGCAAAATTTCAACTCTGACATTATAAAGTTACTTTTAATAATAATAGAGTTTGAATTGTTCTAGTTATGTTTAACATTAAACCATATAAATGTTGTAATCTAAATTTAATGAACTGTTGAGAAGGAAAAGAAGAAAAGCTTAAGGAAAAATATGTGAAAAGCTTTTAAAAAAGAGTGGTTATTTGATACAAGCTATTCAAGTTACTGACAATTATACAATCAGATTAACTTTATGGAACGTATTATACAATGAGTTTATATTTCATTAAGTGTATAGATGAAAGTTGGAATTTTAAGAAAAATGTGTCCAGGGTTCTTCAACGTTGTCACATGGTACACTACACACTTAAGGTATTAACTAAAAGCGAAATCACATTTCAGCTTTGTTCTTTGATATTAAGTCTTAATCACTTAGTTTTATATAAAAAATGCCTTTCAGTTACTCTGAACAAACATTTAACACTATAATCAGAAATGATGGTGTCTAGCAGTGGAATCCAGGACGAGGGTACTTGGTTTGAGTTCGGAAGTGAACATTAATTCCGGGATACCGATACATCCAGCTAACTAGTACTAAAACATTTAGTATTATTTTCACTAGAACTAGTTAACTTCTGTATAGTTCGAAATTGCCGGACATTATAGTGATGTACATAACAATTATACCTAACATCTATCACACATAATAACGAATGTACATTGATATTAGAAATACCGTAAATTACCTACACTTAAAAACTCTGTTTAATTTATTTATCACATTTTAAGACGTGAGTTCTTTGAGAGTCTGCTATAGACAGTCACGTTTGTGAAATTATCATTACTTATATTAAAGTAACCTAACTTTTGTTATTTTTTCTGCATCTTAAAATACTTGAAACTGTTTATCAAGAAATGACCATGCTTTAAGAGTAATGTTCCATTGATGATATTAAGTTTCGTTATTTGTAACATGATAAAACTACTTTGGAATTAGTTTTTTGGAAAGTTAATTATTTACTAATATGGGCATTGTTTGAACCACTGGAACAGCAGCATTCAATTACTTACCGTTTTTCTAGTTCTCACTCGAACATTAAGAATATTATTCAGCGCTAATCCGTGACAAATAGCGTTATATTACATCAACTATATGGAGGCCTGTTTTCATCCTAATGTGATTGACATGTTTTATGTAGATAACTACTGATTTCATCACTCAATGCTACAATAAAGTAAAGAACTAGAAGAACTTTAGGTTTCATGTCTGCGTTAAGCTGATAATCAGTACTCCAAAGTTTCTTGGTTCAATATGGAGTTAAAAACATATTTACTCTGTAAAGCAATGTTGGATATGCACTTTTTGGTCAATTAAGTTTCAAAATGTTTTAATTCAGTTAGTTTAAATACCTTAATGTGAAAGGCATTAAAAAATCAGTGTTTATTTATTAAGAGGTAAAGAATCTGTAATAAATCTTCAATCCATGGTACATATGTACCTCAAATTCTTCAACGTATATAATGTCTCAAAGTCCCACTTATAGTAACAGTTCTTTTAGAGATTAATTTTGTTTATCATTCAACATATGTACTGGTTTATTATTGTTCAATCGATAATTATGCATAAAAACATGTTTTGATATTACAAATGATAATCTTTTATATATATTTTAAAGAAGAAATTAATCGTTTTATCAAAATGAAAACTTTAGGTAATAATAAAATAAAATTTCGAATGTAATTTCGTTTTACTTTTTTTAAAAATGGGAATATTATTTATATTTGTAATTAAAAAAGATAATTGAACACTTGAATTATCTAACTTCAAGGGTGAAATTAATCTTAAAGGACAAAAATCTACAAGATAATTAATTAATTAATCATTTCACTGAATCAGTTTATTGTAATATAAAGTTTCAACTCCGCTTGGAGCCTCCCTGGGGCTACTTCCGGTCCCAAGCCCGGATAAAGGAGGAGGGTTAAGCATTGGGTTAGCGACTTCATCCCGTAGAAAACTAACTCGCTAAAAAACGCTAACCAGAAGTGAGTAAGTAAGTAAAAAAAGGTTTCAATGACCATATTTTACTTAACTCATGGATGTTTATTTTCTTCTATGTCACAATATGTCTTATAGTTCATATAAAATCAAGTTTATCGAATGTACTCAGAGTTCTATTGTACTCTAATTTTAAATATTTAAAGCACGATTAATTTAGATGTTTACAAAATAATGTAAAAGATTATTTATTTAGTTTAATTGATAGATCTGCTTGGAAAGTAGGATAACATTAGAATTGGGTAATCATAAGAATATACACAATAAGATGATAAGATTGGTTCATAGGTTAATTAAAATTTAGACAAAGGATACAAATATCCTTCAACTACGCAGGTTAAAAATGACATATATACTACATAAATTAAAAATGTTTATCTTAGTTTTATTTTGTACTTCAGATGTATTAAGTTAATAACCAAAACACTTGTTAACTTCTTATCTCGCTAAAATGAATAATTGATCATTCAATTTATCGAAACATTCAGTGCAATATTCGATAATAAATTAACTAATTATTTAAATATCAATATTTAGTCACATTATTATAAAAGAAGAAATTACCTACCGTTGTTCAGAAAACATGATTGTTTTAACAAGAGAAATTTACTGGAAATGGTCAGTTGGTTGGAGCTCACAGAAGTAGTTTATAGTATTCAGCTTATCTTGATGTGATATAAATATGTAAGTAATGTATTTACCGAAACAAAACCATCATAAAAGTCGTCTTAGAATGTTTTTCATAGTAGAATTATATAATCATTATTAATGACAAATAATAAATGGTAGTGTTCCGTGTTGGCATGTCAAGGTATTAGACGCTTATAAATGTTTGCTAATAAATGATTTCTTTTTAAACACTTATTGATGATGAAGAATTCCCGATTGATTGTCATCTAGTTTAGAAAAATATGAAACCGATAGAACAATGAATGTATGTTACTAAAATTGCTGTTGTAAATTGTTATAGATGATTTTACGTACCCTTAATACTACTCTCATTAAATTATATAGTTAAAGTCTAACTTTATAACAAAACATTTTTAATATAATAGTATTTTTACAATTAGGTATTGTTTAATAAATGATAATCCTTGGCTTAACAATTCTAATGGTTTAACTATAATATTCAGTAAGTTAAAAGTAAATTTTATTGAAAAAACGAGTACAAAACTAGTTAAACTTACAAATTATTAAATGAAATCCCTTGATATTCTTACAAACGTTATTTGAATGATTAAAATATTTGAATAATGAATAACAGGTTTAGGTAGCAGATATTGGAAAGAATAACATCATAATATAACTGTTAATTCAAAGCAATTAATATTATTCTCTATTTACGAATGACATTTTTCAGTTTTAGTAAATAACGATAAAATGAATGATTTTGACGGATAGAGAACAAACAAAAACTAAAACAAAATGAATATAAATACTTAATATTGATAGTTGATTGGTCAATTTAAACATAATGCTCATCAATTATTTTCTCAAATGTGAATAGTATTTAGTCTGTTCATAGATATACATGAACATTTAGTTGCTATATGCGTATACATACATCTTATTTGTTTATAGAATACATGTTTTGTTTTTTTACAGCTATTTACACATTAAATATATAAAAATACATACAAAACTTAATATTAAAATGTATGTATACATTTGATAGTTAAATTTTTTATGATTGAATGAATGTTGAATGTTAAAAGAAAGATAACAAGGAAATGTAATTAATTTTTTTTTCTTCATTTTTTTCTCTCTTTTATTTTTTCTTTCTTATTATTATCTCACTATAATCATTTATTTTAAATAATTTTTTCTTTAATTTAATTGTAAAAAATTTGTTAGATAAATCGATGGATGGTTTATTATTTTTAAATTTTATTGTTATAAATAAAAAAAAGAATTTTATGTTGTTGCAACTCAACAAAATAAAAAAAATAAAAAAATAAAAAAATAAACAAAATAAAAATAGACGAAAACAAAAATGAACTAGAGACAAATAATATTTAACAAAATTACCAATATGACTAAACATAGTAATTTCTAATTATTTATTCAATGATATAACGAAAAGAATTTATTGGTTCGAATTATACTCCTGTCGTAGTTAGATACGTTTATGTATAGAACTAATAATTTTGATGAATGATAAATCAAATGACAGAACAGTATCTCTAAAACTCTCAACTATTTCCTAAATCTATTATAGATAAACGCTCTAGACTGTCTGTATGTGAATTATATGTACAACAGTTAAAAATTTTTTTCTTTCTTTACAGAATTAAGTCAGCTAGAGAACAGTTGAAAATCATGAAATAGGGAATAGTTATTTCGTCCTAGTCTGTATCCTATTCACAAGTTAAAATCGATGATACCACAGTATATCTTTATGTGATCTTTTTAAAACATATTGCTGTTTACCATTCCCTTGGACATTTCCATAAATCTTCTAAACATATGTTTACTATTATAAATATTATTGTTATGGCAGAATGTTTTAAATCTTACTTGACTTCTATGATTTCCATAAAAAGTATAGTTGAAACATTATTTACTCAGTAATTCAATTATTTAATTATCATATAACTATATTATATATATATATATATATATATATATGTCTTTTACCATACAGTTTTGGTTAAACTATTAACCACTATTATATGATTTTTCATTCTTAATTTACTCTCAAACTATTATTCAGTCTCGCCTACTTTCAGCTGATATTGCGTTGATCACATGTACTTGTTATTCTTTATTTTATAGGATTATGCATATATATATATATATATATAACCTATACACATCAAGGACGAGAAGACTGATACTGACCTAATACTAACAAGGCTCGACCAAAAAGGAAAAACACGAGACTATTGATCATCAACACGATTTCGTTATCATATTTCGAACAGACGCAATTTAAATACGATGAAACCAGATTGCATAATGCTATAAAATAAAGAATAACAAGTAC